ATAATACAGTGGAAACCTGGTATAACAGGGATGGTGGGAGTAGAGAAAACGTCCTGTTATATCCGATCCCTGTTAAATCCGATATGCAAGGAAAGTGAGCATTTGTGGACTAATCCAGCTGTACTTATTCATGGGTAGTTTCCCTAGCCACAAGTACCCATGAACAGGGGTTTTGGCACCGACTTTCTCCTCGCGTCCTTAAAACCACATCAGAAGAGCTTGGTCCACAGCATCTACAGCGGGTAGTCTCATCTTCTTTCGATCCAGAGCAAACTTTTCATTTGAGTATGCTGCCACTATCTTCTCTCTATCCTTGATAATGGTGGGAATCGACCCTTGTGGAATGTCGAACTGACGACAAATCTCTGCCAGTAGAGCTTGCTTTTTGTGAACAGTCTGGATTATTTCGTAATTTTTGTCAATTGAAAGGCATTTTCTCTTGCGCTTGACATCGTTGGTGACCATAATGAAAGAAGTAGGCTTAGATCTAGGCCGACCGGTCGTCCCCCCCCCCTCTCTCTCTCTCTCTCCCTCTCTTTCTCTCTCTCTCTCTCCCTCTCTTTCTCTCTCTCTCTCTCTCTCTCGCTCTCTCTCTCTCTCTCTCTCTCTTTCTCTTACTTTTTGCACATTGTTAACGAGCCTTTGTCCCTGCTATAACCGGTTGGGCTCCGATGAGGCCCTGTTATTGCTGATAACTTTTAATAGAGACAAAGAGTAGGAAAAAACGGGGATTTTAAACATCCCTGTTATTACCGGATCCCTGTTATTTCCGGGCCTGTTATATATGGTTTCCACTGTACATGTACTCCATTGCCTAAAAATTGACGAGCGCCAGTCGTGACACAGATAAATGATGTTATACCCCCACCGACACTCTTTATATCACATTTTTTAATGCATAAGAGGCAGGTACCTTCTTCAAGCATGTTCGTCTGGAACAGCCCGAGTTGTGTGGCCTACAAATACTGCAATCGGTGGTTATCTTGCGAAAAGCAGAAGCATGGAGATACCTTTGAAATATCTACCCCTAAGTAGAAATCAACCTCACTTCTTTTGCCAACCAGACGAAGCGTCTCGTCTAAATCTAATAAATATTTATTTACAGTCGCAGTCCAGTAGGCCTACGGTACGTTCAACATTGTATTTTTAACGTTCCGTCATTACACAACAAATGTAAAAAAAATAAATAAATAAAGCTGGTGTCCGAATAAAGCTTAACTTTTATTTTGAGAGCGCGAACTGGAAAAGAAATGTGTTTGGTCCGCTGTTTGCCTGAAACAGCTTTAATTAAGTCTTAGTGGCCGCCTAGCCTATTTTAACAAAACATTATTATATACATGTATTTTTTTTAATAAAATATATAGGGCCTATATAATAGTAATGAAATGACCTCCCAATCGCTACGGAACCACCTTCGAGAGAGGAAATTGCTGCAGCTATAACAGCACTGAAGGCCCACAAGGCAGCTGGTCCCGACCATATACCACCGGAAGCCCTTAAGGCAGATAAAGATACATCAGTGGAAATTCTCCATGCTCTATTCGAAAAGGTTTGGCAAGAAGAGGAAATACCATCAGACTGGAAGGAAGGCCACCTAATCAAGCTGCCAAAGAAGGGAGACCTCAGCAATTGTAACAACTACCGAGTCATAACACTCCTGTCCATACCTGGGAAAGTCTTTAACAGGATACTCAAGGAGAGAATCAAGCTGGCTACAGTTGAGAAGCTCCGAGGAAACCAGGCTAGGCAGGATTCCGCAAGAACCGATCATGTGTAGACCAGATCGCTACCCTACGTATCATTGTTAAGCAATCGCTTGAATGGAATTCACCACTAGTGGTCAACTTCATTGATTATGAAAAGGCGATTTGACAGCGTGGACAGGGAAACTCTGTGGAAACTCATGCGGCATTATGGAATACCTGACAAAACAAAATTGTCAAGCTTGTGAAGACTACTTATGATGGAACAAACTGCCAAGTTTTCCACGACGGACAACTCTCAGAACCATTCCAGGTACAGACAGGAGTGCGACAAGGATGCCTACTCTCACCTTTTCTCTTCATACTTTGAAATTGACTGGATCATGAAGGAAGCCACCAGAGGTAAGCGCAATGGAATACAGTGGATCCCTTGGCAGCAGCTGGACGACTTGGACTTCGCCGATGACCTTGCACTGCTCTCTCACACACATGCTCAAATGCAAGAAAAGACCAAGGAACTCAACAGCCTATCAAGGAGTGTTGGCCTACGTATACACCCGGCCAAGTCGAAAGTAATGAAGCTAGGAAAAGTGTCAAGCCCTGCTGTGACAGTGGAAGACAATCCCCTAGAAGAAGTGGACTCCTTTTACTTACCTTGGACGTGTCATCGATGGTAAAGGTGGAACTGAGGCAGATGTAAAAGCAAGAACCGCTAAGGCAAGGTCAGCATTCAAGCAAGTACCAAAAGTCTGGAAAGCAAGCAACATCTCACTGCTCACCAAGATTCGACTGTTTAATTCCAATGTCAAGTCTGTGCTCCTCTACGGCAGCGAAGCTTGGAAGACATCAAAGATAATGTGCTGAATAAAGTCCAGACTTTTATCAACAGATGTATGAGGAGTATCATCAGAATTAAGTGGCAGGATAGAATAAGAAATGAAGAGCTATGGGAAAGGACAAGACAAAAGGATGTAGAAGTAGAAATAGGACTAAGAAAGTGGCGTTGGGCGGAACACACCTTCAGAAAGCCCAGCGGAAACATTACAAGACAGTCACTGCAATGGAACCCACAGGGATCACGAGGCAGGGGTAGGCCACGAGAGACATGGAGGAGATGACTGTGTGGAAAGGGACATGAGAGAGATGAAGCTCACTTGGAACAATCTAGGAAGGATGGCCCAGGATAGAGATAAATGGAAGGAGCTTGTAAGTGGCCTATACCGGAGATGACTAGTGAGAGATATTTCACTCGTCAGCTGGCCTTTCTTCGCATCATGTTATTTACGCGAGATCGGTGACGCAGTGCCTCGTAACTATGTCACGCCGTACATTTCATAGTCTGTCCCTCTCAAAGTAACTTCCCCTTGTTATTTCCTATAGGGACAGAAGGAGGAGCGAGGAGTCAATACGTCGGAAGTAGTAGTGTATGGTGAAGTTGGTCACTAAAATGTGCGCATAATTAATCAATTCATCAAATTTAAGCTCCAGTGAAGGAAGAGGAAGCAGAGTTAAAAAAAAACTAGTTTTAGTAAGAGTTTTACGGCACTTGTAGATGCTGCGTTGCAACAATAAGGTCATATAAGTGTCGAAGAATAGATGCATGATAAAACAGGAGGAGGAGGAGAGATAAGGACCATAGGTGCTTGGATAGGAAAGAAGGAGTAAACCACACCAGGGCACACGCCAACCACCCACGAAGAAGAAGAAGCAGAAGCAGAAGCAGAAGCAGAAGCAGAAGCAGAAGCAGAAGCAGAAGAAGCAGAAGAAGAAGCAGAAGAAGAAGAAGAAGAAGAAGCAGAAGAAGAAGCAGCAGAAGAAGAAGAAGAAGAAGAAGAAGAAGAAGAAGAAGAAGAAGAAGAAGAAGAAGAAGAAGAAGAAGAAGAAGAACAAGAACAAGAACAAGAACAAGAACAAGAACAAGAACAAGAAGAAAATGACAAAAAAAGGAGTAGAAAGAAGAAGAATAGAAAAGATTTGGCGTATTGTGGGCACTAATGCAATGAGATGCGGCCAGGAATAAGGAGAGGGGACGTGACCAAGCCAGGCCAATAATTATACCGACCGAGAGGAAACAGGCAGTAAGATAAAAAAAATTTAATTTTAATCAAAATATTGACTAGAATTACTAGAATGTTCTGACTCCATCTTTCATGAGTGGATGAGGGTATGGCGTGACGGTAAAGAAAGAGAAATGGTGTTAAAAACCCATTCAGACAAACCCTCTCGCTTAATTTACTATGAAAACAATAAGGCATAAGGTGATTCCTTGATGATGATGATGATGATACATGTATAATAGTAATAGGTAGGCCCCATATTTATGTATCAAATGTACCTCCTCTTTATTTCAATTGTTATGTACTAGGTTGCATTTTGATGTAGTATTCAAGCGAACACCGCTCTTGAGCTGAACTTAATGAAAGGTACTTCTTGGGATAGCCGAAGTATGATTTATGAAATTGATGACTGTCAGAAAAAAAGATAACACGACACCTAGCTTACTATTCCAAGGTCTCCCCAAGGAGTTTAGAACTACTTTTAATCTCCTTGGGTCTCCCCTGAAACTTCTCTGTCGATTTGAGTATATTTTTTTTTTATAAAGTAGGCCTATTATAGAGCTTTTATTATGACAGAGAAATTCCTTTTAGGCAACCAAAAATGGCAAAAATCGAACCGATTCGAATCGAATAGGAATAGTGGCCTCCGCTCGTGTATAAAGCTCTTCAGCCCCGCGTTCCCAAACCTTTCCCAAATTTGAAATTGCCACTCTGCATTAAGCCTCTATTTGCCAAGACAAGATCAAGCCCTCAAACTTCAAGCCAAGTTCAAGCTAAGATTATAATTTTTCAAGAGTGACGTCCCGTGTCCCCGGTTTATTTTGACAATCAATAATACCAGATAGGCATGGCCAGAGAGTGTCTCAATGGTTTTCTTCCGGACTTTTTTGCCTTTCTTCAGCGTCCTGGTGAGAGAGAGAGAGAGAGAGAGAGAGAGAGAGAGAGAGAGAGAGAGAGAGAGAGAGAGAGAGAGAGAGAGAGAATAACGTTGATCATGATCATCATAAAGTGCTACATTTGAAGCAGAACATCGTAAATCATGGCTCGCCTGTCATTTCTCTGCTAGGATGCTCCTAAAAAGAAAGTAGATTTATATTATTATTATGAGTCTTTCTCTGGGAGCTCAGCTCTCTGTTCATGTTTTTTCAGGTAAGTTACCGGTTGTATTGAAATTCCAGTCATTAAATAACACTTCGCTGTCTTTTTTTTAATTTGGCGGTAAAACGTTCTCTAATCTGGTAGATATTTTGAAATCGAAAGTCGAACGAAAGTACTTCAAAGTAGGTAGACTAAACTAAAGTAGTAGTGTAGTAAAGTTGTTGAGGCTGAACGAGAAAAAGCTGGAGTGGGTAGACTCTATTCTAGATTCTAGAATCCAGATTAGATCTAAGATCACTATTGGAATATCGTGTTGATTGTTGATATTTTTTGACAAAGATGAAGGGGACCCACGCCCACTTTCATGTTTGTTATGGAGATTGAACATGAAACTATTGAAACTGTAAGTTTGGCTGGAGGGAGCGTTCTTGTTGTAGGCCTAGACAATAAATTTGAAACCGAAAGTTGAGCCGAGCTTACTTGAAGTTTGAGCTCAGGTATTGTTTTAAGAATCTAGCCTCTAGGCCTACTCTGTGGGTGTGGGGGGTCTTCGCTTTTGAAGACATTGTACTTGAATTGCTTTTTGGACAACGGGGTAAATTGCAACTCGTAATTTTTAGGTGAATGACTAGAGATCTAGAGCCTAGATCTAGATATCTAGATCTAGATCTAGCTGTGCATCTCACTATTGGATTTTTTAAAACAGAGTGTCTACGTACACGGTAACCGGGCACCTAGCCTCTCTCAGCCTCAGTGTCTATGTTATGTACACGGTAACCTGCAACCGGGCACGTAGTCTCAGTGACATTTACGGTAACCGGGTATTTAACCTCTAGGGTCAATATCTACGTACACGGTAACCAGCATCCGAGCATGTAGTCTCTCTATCACGTACACGGTAACCGGGCAGTTTAGAACTCCTAGTTCAGTTTTTGTCATCCGTTGCCTTCATCCCCACCCCTCCCCCAACTGTACCTTTAAAAAATCTATAATCCCCCCTTTCCGACCTTTCGGGACACGTATACTTCGCAGCGCACAGACTTTGAATGAACTTTGGTGACCCCAACCGGTACTCACAATGTGATGTGCCTGCGCAGGTTCACTGACCGGAAGTAACTGGAAGTCAGGGTTACAATAACCTACTACATCGCAATATCGGAAGTTGAAATCAGGGTTATAGGTCGTTTAGTATCACTCCGAACACTTATTCAATATGGAGCGGTTCACAGCGATAATGGAGAAAGAAGCGCAGTTATTGTGGAAACACCGCCCGATTGCTACCGATCCAAGATGGCGGCCTGGCCCGGCCTGGGGTAACAGACGAAAAAGCGCCAAAAATCCTGTGTCTGCGTCTAAAAGAGAAGTTTGACATTATTGTTCTGCATTCTGTTGATCAACAACAATTTATCTCTAGCCATTATATCATGACTGTATTTGGAATGCCACGTGAAGTACTCTGCCAATTAAATCCATCCAAATACTGAGTGCAGGTGCTTGATTTAACGTCATGATCATGATGTCAATTTATCTGCCTCACTCAACTGTCAACACTTTAAGTTCAACACACAACTCTTCTTGGAAGCAAAATAACAGGACGCTCAAAGACTGATATATGCTCAGTAAACCAATTGAAAAATTTTTTAAAAAATTCACTTCATCATCATAGTGACATACACATAGTTTATCGACAGAATGCGCAGTAAATATATATTTCACGGATTGACAAAAAGCGCTGCGCGATCCACTGATCAACAGAATGCACAACAATCGATGGATTGTCGCGCGTTTCCTCGATCAACCAAATGCGCTGCGCCATCAATAGATCGCGCAAATCGACAGATCGCGCCCAACATAGATACTGAGACTAGGTGCCCGGTCACCGTGTACGTAGACTGAGACTAGATGTCCGGTTGCCGTGTACTTAGACAATCCGTTTATAAAATTGCAACAATTATAATTTTGGTGTCATTAGAACCAGAATTTGGCAGAAACCTTGATCTAGATCTATAACACTGAAAATCGGCATGAGAAAGGAGGAAGTTTGTTTAAAATGCCTTTTAATGGTATAGTATCAAAAAGTCAAATGTCGATACCTAACCATTTCAGAATCTCACGCCATATCTCACTTGTAACACAGTAATGGGGAGCCAAAAAAGTTAGTAATAAATATGTACATTGAGTAATCAATACTAGTAACAGGGATAACTATTTACACAGAGATACAATTGACATGAGATGAGAGAAAGCGAGGGGGGGGGGGGGAAGGAGGAGGAGGAGGGAAGAAGGAGCAGGAGGAGGAGGATCATATAATTCAGTGACATTTCAGGTGTAGACAAAAGAATTTCAGCCTACATTCACTGTGACGAGAGGGGATTTTCTTTGGACATGCTATGATTTTCGTTTCCATCTTTGAAATCTTGTAGTGTTACAGCCCCCGACGTTAAAGAAACTGGGACCTCTGTGTTTGTTGACAGGAGAACAATCTAGTTCATTTTTCTTGCTGATGCCTTTCATGGAACTGCAGTCTAATTTACATATATAAATATCTCACAGTTTTGGAGAAGCATGTATCGCGTTGGTTTCTTGTCCATGGGAATTGAAAAGAGTAAGAGTTTACCAGTTTAAAGTTTTCAGCCCTAGCACTGGCTGAAAAATGGTCTGAAAGACCACTGCTTGACCTAAGATATTCTTTTAACCCTATCTGTACGTCCTGGGGTCATTTTGTACCCACAGGGTTGTATTCTTCACAATTTAGAATACTTCTAGTACAAAGATCTCTTTGAAACTTTCAGTATTTCTCAAAAGATCATTTAGACAGACTGCTATGCAAAGCGTACGGATTGGATTTACTAGTAAATTTCCTCTTTGAAAGTGGTGGCACAGAGTTCCCCACGTCGCATGGATACGATAGTAATACACAATGTACTTTTTGCTTCCCAGTCTTCTCGCTCCCAGAGGCTTCCCTATATTGAGCCACCTGGAAAGTGGTGGATTTTTACGCCTGATGACCGAGGGGTAAACATTTTTCTAAGCAGAGTAGGTGTGAGCACTGCTGTGATCCACATGCCATGAAATGTCCTTTCTCCATCTGTAGTCATTTATTGTTGTCAAAGTTGAATGCCTCAAACTGAACACAGCTGTGTGCTACTCTGTCGTGAACATTTCCAGTGAGTGACCCAACAGCAGCGTTCAGTTTTTAATGGGGAGCAGAGTCCCTGTGTGTTCTGTGAGTTCACAAGAAGCCTTCTTGAGGAGAAAAGTGGCCAATGCAAAAATACACGCATTTCTACTTGTAAGGGAGCAATAGATCTTGGTCGGCTGGCAACTCTTTTCAGATGTGAATTGTAGTATAATATTTACAGTTTCAAGAAACAGCACCAAGAGACCACCAATTGAGCGCGTGTTCTCCTCCATAAATATATCCAATTAGATTTACTGATGGATGTACTCTTTTTCAAATGTAGATTTTTGATCAATTGGTGTGCTGCCTTGACAATTTGCTTCTGCCTGGCATCCTATGCCCTTTGGTGTTTCTTAAAATTCTCGTATTGGTATATATATAATTGAAAGAAGCCAATTACTTAAATGTAAGTACTCACCATCAACCTCCGTTATTATGTTTAAGCTTTCCCTTGCACCCCATCTGTTGTTTCTTTTTCAGGTACTGTAGTCTGTAATGCTGTACCATTCACCTCATGCAGATGGTCTTCCAAAATGGTCATCAGGTCCCGAATATTGATCTGCTCATATAGGCTACATAAAATTTGTGTTCAGACAGGATACAACATAATGAACGGCATCTACCTTTAAAGCATCCTTGAGGTTTCAATGTCCTTAAACTTAAAAAAAAAAATACAACTTCTAATATAACAGAACATGATGGTGGCTGCTTAAAAATGTTGAAGTTGCAACTGAGTAAAAACAATCGAGAATAGTCGTTGTCCATTCGTCCTTTGTTTATCGTGTCCTGACTTTGGGTCTCGGTTCGTACGTGAATGACATTATCTAGACCCTTTTATGACTTTGTTTGACTGCAAATTTTTTTTTCAGACCCTAACACATTCAGCGGGTGCTAAATTGGAACTCTTGGTGACTTAACCAAAGTTTGTGTTTTTGCCCGTTAAGCTTCCTGGACTGCAAAAAGATTTCTGGATCGATAACAACAACAACAACAACTGGATCGAAGCAAAAAGATTTTGCTCTCATATAAGATCGGTGACATAAAATGTCATGTGCTCTTCGCGCCCTTCAGCCACATCTCTATATTGTTCTTTTTATGTTTTACAACTGCCAGAATACCATTCACACTTTGCTATGTCAATTGCACAAAGGGCAATTTTTTAGAGGGAATTTACAAACCTCCAGTGAAAAGCTCCTACTGAGGGTGTGAGAAAACTTCATTCTTAATATTGGCTTCCCATACTTTTTACGTAAAAGCACAGATACTGTTGACGAACTGTACATCATTTTGGGAATATCCATACAAATTACAAATACATACATTCTCGCGTCAAAGCAAATATGATATAATCCGATTTGGTGGTAATATGAATTTTGCCTTTTTGGCAACTTGTAAAGGATTTTTAAACAATTTCCTCTGCGATTTCGAATGCCGATTTTTAATATTTTATTACACACAATTTTGTCTGTCAAACCATATATATGTTTTATTTTTGTTGCAATTTTTTTAGGGTCTACCCTTGTCTTGCTTCCACTCTTTTTAAACTAGAAAAAGTGGAGACATTCATTTGTTGCTCCAGACTGATTATGCAATTATTTTTATGGATCCTTCTCATGTAGAGTTGTACAAGTTATTCTTCTTGTTGTAGTCTCTCTTGATTGGAATTTTTTAAAATGGTGACTGTGATTATTTTCAGAGCACAGTGTATGAAGTCAAAGGGTGAGGCTGACTGTCAACTTAATCGTTACCATGCCTGCTTCACTTTGTTTGTATGAGGAATTGAAAGACCATCTACCAGAAAATGCTAAACGCTTGAAATTGTCCTCAATGAATGAGGATTTTTTAGAGGTGGATGAAGACTATGTGCAGGTAAGTGAAAAATGAAATCCTGAAAACAGCGGTGGGTAAACCTATTGAATAGGGGGTGGCTTTAATGTGGCCAATGGCAGCAAAACAGGACATAGCGCTCAAGGTAGCCTGACTTTTTTGAGGTGACAGAATATACCATGCTTACAAGTATGTATCCACCTCCACAAAACCAACCAGAAGTTCTTCCCGCCAGGAATGACCTCCCGATAGTTACGGAACCACCTTTGAAAGAGGATATTGCTCTTGCTATAACATCACTGAAGTCCCTCAAGGCAGCTGGTTCTGACCTTACCACCAGAAGCCCTTTTAAGGCAAATAAAGTTACGTCAGTGGAAATTCTCTATGCTCTATTTGAAAAGTTTTGGCAAGAGGAGGAAATACCATCAGACTGGTCCCTGGAAGGAAGGCCACCTAATCAAGCTGCCAAAGAGAGGAAACCTCAGCAATTGTAACAACTACGGAGGCATAACACATCTGTCCATACCTGGGAGAGTCTTGAACAGGATACTTCTGGAGAGAATCGAGTTGGAAACAGATGAGAAGCTCCTAGGGAACCAGGCAGGATTCCGCAAGATCCGTTCATGTGCGGACCAGATTGCTACTCAGCGCATCTTTTTTGAGCAATCGCTTGAATGGAATTCACCACTTGTGGTCAACCAGATTTGATTATGAGAATGCATTTGACAGCGTGGACAGGGAAACTCTGGAAACTCATGTGACATTATGGAATACCTGACCAAATTGTCAAGTTTGTGAAAGCCACTTATGATAGAACAAACTGCCAAGTCTTCCATGAAGGACAACTCTGTGAACCATACCAGGTACAGACAGGAGTACGACAAGGATTTTTGCTCTCACCTTTTCTTTTCATACTGGCAGTTGACTGGATCTTGAAAAAAGCCACCAGAGGCAAGCGCATTGGAAAAGAGTGGACCCCTTGGCAGCAGGTGGATGACTTAGACTTCGCAGATGACCTTGCACTGCTCTCTCACACACATGCTCAGATGCAAGAAAAGACCAAGGAGTGTTCACCTACATGTACATCCAGGCAAGTTGAAAGTAGTGAGGCTAGGAAAAGTTTCAAGCCCTGCTGTGACAGTGGAAGACACTCCCTTGGAAGAAGTGGACTCCATTACCTACCTTGGAAGTGTCATCAATGGTAAAGGTGGAACTGGGACAGGTGTAAAATTAAGAACCACCTAAGCAAGGTCAGCATTCAATCAATTTTCAAAAGTCTGGAAAGCAAGCAACATCTTACTGCGCACCAAGATTCATTTATTTTAAGTCCCATGTCAAGTCTGTGCTCCTCTATGGCTGCGAAGCTTGGAGACAACAAAGACAGTACTGAATAAAGTCCAGACTTTTATCAGCAGATGTATGAGGAGTATCCTAAGAATTAAATTGCAGGATAGAATAAGAAATAAAGAGCTGCGGGAAAGGACAGGACAAAAGGATTTAGATGTAGAAATAGGACTAAGAAACTGACGATGGATGGAACACACCCTCAGAAAGCCCAGTGGAAATATCACAAAACAGTTTCTGCAGTTGAACCCACAGGGAACATGACATGAGGCAGGGGTAGGCCATGGGAAACATAGAGGAGATGTATGTATGGAACGGGACATGAGAGAGATGAAGCTCACTTGGAACGAGCTTGGAAGGATGGCCAAGGACAGAGATAAATGGAAGGAGCTTGTATGTTTCCTATACCCTGCCAGGGGTGAAAGGCATTGATAGTGATGATACAGATTCCACAGACAGAACAAAAATAGTTATATGAGACTACAAAAGTTAGTCTCAGCTTAAGTATAGCGTACTGATGTGATTACTCTTTCTAATGTCTGTTGATTTTTATTTTGTCACCAGGCCATACAAAATTCTGTGGAGGCCACATTTAGCCTGCAGGCCATTGTTTGCCCTCATCTGTCTTAAGAGCAGTTAGCTCTGCCTTCTTTTCAGAGGAGAGTGAATTTCAGCAAGTAGGAAAGTTTTTCAGCAGATTTTTCTATGGTGCTTCTTTTTCTTGAAAGTAATAATAAAATATTGAAAACTGAAAAGAGCAGTTTAGTGTTCAATTAAAACTTTTTCATTAGCTGTGCATTGAAAATATATGGATACTATATTTTTTTCATTTTGGAAAAGTTGTTTTATTTGATGACCATTTGATTTTACTGGCAGGCAAAATGTTATCGTCACGGCTTTGAAGCTAAATTATTGTTAAAAGTGATTTATTGTAAACATTCAGTTCATGCTTTCTATTTCTTTCTGTGTTCCTTTTCCTATCGTGCGCATTCCTTTTCATGTTTTGCATTTCTGTGTTTTTGCATAGAGAGCCTTTTTGTTTTGGGATAGGGGTTTGGCAGTTAGTATGTTTCCTCTCTTTTAAGCATGTTTGTACTTTTGTTTTTAATGCTCTTTTGGAAGCTGAACTTAGAAGTATTGTGTTTGTTTTTCTGTCTTTCTCCCTTTACCCCTTCCTTTTTCTTTTTCTTTCAGGGTGTGATACAAACGAAATATGACTTTCATACCCTGCCATATCCAGCCCTGAAATTCGTTCTTCATGATGGTATGTTACTTCCCTTTTGTAATTGGAGTACGTTTTGGTTGTAATGGTAGTTGTAGAATACTAGCACAAAATTGGTAACAGACAAACTTTTGTAAAGGGTGGTAGGTTTTTACTGTAACCTGTGTTGATTTATTTATTCCTGCTCATATACTGGTCTGAATGTACGCAAGTCATATATTGTAATGATAATGAGGCTAGGCTTTTTGCTGTGCACTAGAAAAGAAAATTAAGTTTGATTCTTGTAAGAGGAACTTCTATGTCAGTTGGCTTTGCATCTTAGAGATGATTATGGAATGTTAAAGGCGACAAATACACCTGTCCTTTGAAAGGATGAAGGCTGACAAATATCATTAAAACAGAGTACAATATATTGTTACCTACTTCTATGTTTTTGTCAGTTTGACTGTATTGGGTTTTGCTGTTGTTTTTAATACCTTCCTAGTTCATGCTTCTTCGCATGACACTCTGGTGTGCATTAGGTTTGTATATATTTGTGTCATGATGCGATGGAATCGGGCATATGTCAATTTTTGGGCATGTGGCGTTATTAGTATCATCTGAAAGCTTATATATTTGCCTTGCTTTCAATGAAACAAATACCCATCTATCTTGAATAGAAGTCGAGATATCTATAATTGTACGAGGTGGTGTTGACTGGTTTGAGTGGTAAAATTAGTGAATAAATGGCCGCCAAAGTTTGGTATAACTCTTCAATTGCTTGAGAGTCCCTGAAAAGTGTAAACTTACACACTTTGTACTTTTAATCCATGGAAATGTGATATTATAATGACATAAAAGGTGTTGAGCCAAAAAACAAAAATTCGATAATAATTGCCAAATGGTGGAAAAGTACTCGTTCAGCCCCCGGGGCGGTGCCACTGACTGAAGCGTCTTTAGGCCATTCCCAAAGGGGGGACATTTCTCGTTCAAGCACAGTAGAATTGTAAATGGGCTGATTCATCATGTCACGCTCATAACTGTGCCTGATCTGCAACAGGGAACTGCTGCTTTTTCTTTCCTTATCATTACTATTGTCATTTTTCTCTACTTCTTTTGTATGTTTGTCGCACTATTGTGACCTGCTATTTCCGGGGTGCCTTGATAGTGGAAGCAGACCTTGCGCTGTTGAAGCTAGAGAGGTGAGCAGAGTAAGTCTGATTCCCTCTAAGGACTTCTCTGTTGACACCCACCCCTTGGCGCTCATATGACCATATGCAGTTGCGAGTGCTGTAAGCCCTCTACTAAAAAAAATGTTTTTTAAAAAAAATGCACGTTTCTTCAATTTTATTATTTTGACGAGCACCCGATTTCACCATGATGCCTCACATTTAGCTTTTCAGCTACAGGGCTCACTGAAAATCAGTTCTGTTTTTTGTTATTGTAAATTGCAGCAGTAATATATATTAAAATATGTGAAAATTATATACATTTTTTTGTTCAGCTTTGTTATGTTTTTTCTGACTTTTAGGCTCTGGTAGTGTGGGCCTTTTTACAATGGGTGAAGCTGCTGTTGATTTGGATAAGTTGGCGTCAGAAGGGGTAAGTATGTTTGATTGACAGAAAAGAACAGTTTCATATGATTTTATTGAGAATAATCATACTCTAAATGTTGTTGTGAGTCTTCATTGCAGTTTTTCTAGTTTTCAATTGTTTGTTTTGTTGAATCACTACCTAGAAAGTATATATGTACATGATAAGAATTTTTGGTGTGGAGTTGTTGAAGTATGTGGGTTGAGGGTGCTACTGATAGGTCTTACTTCTTCACATGTTCTATTCTTTTTATTTGTTACTCTTGCTTTTTTCTGGCTTTAAATGACCGTTATCAGGTCAATGTATTTCATCTCTTTACTTAGATAACAGAGTGATGGTTGTTTTCAAATACAAGTGAATATTCATTTGCCAGCCATCTGAAAAGGATAGATAATTCAGCCATTTCAGACTGCAGTCACAACAGTATCTTAGTTTCTATGAAATTGCTAAATTTATACCTCAGTTCATTTTCGAGTATTTTGTAGAATAATACTTATATTTACTTTTGTATAAAAGGAAAATCTACCTTCTTCTTTCTCTTAGTACTACTCAATGATTCTGGTTTGTATTGCCACTGCATTCCTGTTATTGACAAGTTGGTAGGAATACATTTTCTTCAGATAAAAAAGGCTGATAAATCTCATTAAAATTGAGTACAATATCTTCAACCGTTTTTATGTTCTTGTCAGTTTTGTTGTTTGGACTTTGCTGTTGTTTTTAATACATTCCTTATCCATGCCCATTCACAGGACATCTTGGTGTGCACTAAGTTTTGTGTAGAACTTAGTTGTGATCTTCCTACTCTTGTTGCTAATGATGTCGATGACGAGACAAAAGTATTGGTAATGGTTTAGAGTGAAAGTTAAAATATTTTTAAAGAGCCAGAATACTATTTTTGACTCTTGATATACCTGATATATTGTTCGTACTTGATACATTTGAATTTTTTTAGTGATAGCAAAGGCTTATATGTTTGACAGCACTTTGTTTGACAATATCTAAGACATGTGGAAGAAAAAATATGGGATCCTTCCTTGTTAGATATAGTTTTCATTTGTGTATGTAAATGCTGTGTGAGTAGATTGTGTTGGAGAATGCTGGAACTATTTCTTTCACATTTTACTAACATCTCACAGACTGACACTCTACTACCAAATAAATAAGGGATTTCAGAGTTGTCTGCTCATTTCCTTCTTAAGGCCAAGTAGTGCTCTCCATTAATGCTCAGTTAGCTCGGTTCACTTTATGCTTGTAAGTCTGTCGTAAGCTTTCCATATATACTCTCCATTGCTGGGATTAGTCAGAGGCAGTGGAGTGACATGACATTGTTTTTTGTGGAGGGACAGACACATGACAGCCCCCAACTCTAAAGATGCAATAAATTCCCTGAGTAGAAGAGAACAAGTCACGATATTTCGCCTGTGAACACAACACATACCACTAAATTCCTACCGTAATAGGATCCGCAAGGATACCCCACCCGACTGCCCGTTGTGCGACTGCCAGGATGAAACAGTACCACACCACCTCTTTAACTGCCCAGCACTTTGTGACCTGTGTAGCACCTACCTACCTGCCTCCCCAGACATCGGAAACACTCTATACAACGACAAAGCACAGCTGATTAATACCTGTCAATTCTTTGCCATATCGACAGACCGAAGGGCTAGAACCCAAATGGCCGCTGGATCGGAAAAGTAAAAGTAAAGTAAAGTGGAGGGACAGAGAGGTCAACTTGGTCACGACTGTGATCGGACTGTGTCACACCTTCACCAAAGTCCTATTTTTGATCAAGGAGGGTTGGCAGGTCTACTATATGTGCACTTCAGACATTTAGACTGAACAGCTGTGGACCAGGTCTCCAGTCTACAAAAGAATGGGTGCTGTAAACACCATAGAATGGAGTCAGCCTTTGAAATCACCTCTTTGTATCTAGTAGGGTGTTACTAAAAGGAATTAAAGATTGTGTTTTTGTCTTTATGGAAAGTTATTTGTACATGTAATATGTCTCTCTATTGGAAAGAAGTAATTTGTTGCATTTTTAAATTCATGTTTTCAAAATTAGAATGTTCTTATATGCTTTTTGGTATTTTTTTTTGTTTTTTGTCACTAACTTTACTTCTCTGTATTGCTCAGGTTATCCCGAAAAACAGTTCTAATGCTTGTGGAACTTCTTCTGATAAAAAATCCCCTCTTGGAAAACATTCGTCTTTGGCTCAGGTAATGTCTTAAAACATTGAACTGACCTTTTATTTCTTTCTTATAGAAACGGCCAAAGGTTTCTTGCAAGCAGTAACCCCCCCCCCCCCCCCCAACCCCCTTTTTTAAAACTCGACAATGAAGAACCGGGAAAGACCTCATCTTTTTCATCACGCCTTTGTTTTCATTTCATTTATACTTGACTACAACCCCCTGTTCTTGACTGCCCATGGCCATATTGCTAATTTCCGAGATTACTAATTTTTTACAAGTTGATTTAAACTATAGTGGTGGGTGGGCAGCCCTGCTGTACATGGGAAAGTGAATGTCTGTTCCCAAAAATTGGTTTCATTTACCTGTAGTTGTCTTAAGGGGTCATTGCACTGGGTTTTTTTTTAAAGTGCTGTTTTTAATTTAGTCTGTTATTAAACATTTCCCTGAAATCAATGGGAAAATTAATGCACAAAATTCTGTACCCTTTGCTTAAACCTAACATTACCTTGAATAAAGCTGTAAGTTTAAGGACAAAATAATAAACCTTTCTCTCATTAAAAGAAAAAGACAAGCTCAGTTTATTTGGATACGAAGAAACACTGGAGTTCAATCAAATGATTTATTTATTGGCCATAGTTGTCCCTATTGTTCATGTGCTGAACAAGAGTGTTTTCTTCTGGGATTGTGGAATTGATAAAACAGTTGGTTTGTGTTGAATATTACTTTTCCCTTGCCTTTTGTTGAGGTGGTTTGAAAGACTTGCTGTCAGTTGACCCTACACCACCCTTTCAAAGTCTAGGAGAGGGAGATGTACTCTTAGAAGCTGATACTCTTTCAGTACATATACTCTAAGGATTAGGGGGGGGGGGGAGAAGGGTTAGTAAAGTTGTTACAGAACACCTGGATTTTCCTTCTTTTTCAGGTTTCTCAACCAGGCTCCAGCCGACACGAAGATTCCTCCAGCTCTAAGCAGGTGGTCAGGTCTGTAATTAAGAGCCCCAACAGGAACCTCGTGTCCTCCACTGTGTCTCCTGCAAACAAGTCCTCTTCTGGAAACACACACCAAAATGTTCGTCCTTCTAGCTCAAAACAAAGACGTGAGTCTCCTAGACGTGAAACCAACCGAAAGGATGTTCTATCTCAACCAAGTCCCAAAAAGGTAAAACATGTTATATATCCTGAATGATCTAGATTGTGTTGATGAGGGTGTAAAACCGTTACTATTATCCCAATCAGGTCCATGAGATTCATCGTTTTTCACTTTCTGTTTCTCTTGTTCTCTGGATTAGGCTGGCATCAGGTACTCCTACAAAGCTCTGTCTGACGTGGCGGCGAACACAGTGGTCAATGTGTACGGTATTGTGACCTTTACAAAGACTCCAGCTCAGTCACGAGGCTCAGGTCAGTGAATGCTCTGGTTAAACTTTATTTCAGAGGTCACTAAACTTATTTCAAAGTGGTCCGAATAACTGAGAGAATGCTGAGAGCTGGCTGGATAACTATTTTATTCAATACACCTTTTGTGGTGGGAAATGTGTTAAACAAAAGATTTGGCACGTTGGAGTGGAGCAAGAGTGTTATACATGAGTTAAAAATTATGACCATGGCATTTTACTAACACATATTTGTAAAAATGTCTTAACATTGTTAATGTTATCACTTAAGCAATCATATTTTGTCAATATATTGTGAGGGGTTTAGACAAAATCCTACAAAGAAATATGGGTTCTACCCTAGCGCATTATTAAGCAATCTGAGTTTGCGACCAAACATCGTTTATTTAACAAGGTTCTTCATCTTAAAAGCTGGTCTGTTGAACTGCCCAAAGGGGTTAGTAAGGTTAGAACAGACCAGTGAGTGGCTTTCAGTAGCTCAGATCTAACCTCGGTATCATTGGGTTGTCTTTACCTGCACATGTTGAACATGCTGTGGGTCATTTTATAGTGTCTCGATGGCCAGCTAATTAGCTATTATATGTTTTGTGTGGGTGACAATACATCAAGTGGAATCTTTACAGTGACAACATGGAGGAAGATAGCAAGGTTCCCTGACCCATGAAGCTCGACTTGTGTGCCTTTGTAACCTGTCTATATTGCATTGGCGAGGGTAAACTTATCTTTTATAATATTATTATGTGGGATAGTGAGGTTCGTGCAAAACTTAAAGTGCATTTTCAAGCATTTGTAGTTTGAATCTGGATTTAATATTAAAATGCACCGTGTAGCAAGGTGTCTGGAATTTTTGTGTGCAACAAAACTGATTTTTGCAAAAAAGTAGAGTTTGCGAGGTTCCTCAGAGCACCGACGATATATGAACTTGTTATGGTCACTTCAAGAAATTACTTCCAATGAGAATCCCAGTCTGGGGGG